CCCTACACGACGCTCTTCCGATCTCCCCAAAACCCCAAAACCCCAAAATTCTGTGAATAATTTATTTGTATGAATAAGAAAAATAAGTTTTAATTTATATCAATCTTCCTTATCAGTTTCATCAAGAGTCTTTGTTTTATTATCACCTTTTATTGTTCTAACAAGCCCAGCTAAAATCAAGTTTGACCAATAGAAATTAAGAATTAACCCCACAATCTATGAAAATACCATAAATAGAATCATTGAGTTGTAATATACGTCTGTCTTACCCATGCTTTAAATTTTTTCAACTATCCAAGGGAAAACATTATATGTGCAGATAAGTTAAATTGGCATTCTGCCTAATATAAATGTTGCAGCAAATATATATGAATTAATTCTAAAGTACACTGTTTCTTTCATTTTATGGAAAAAGAATAATTGTCTAAGATTTAAGAAGCCAGTTGATATTTCAGTTGCTTAGTTAAAAATAGCAGCAGTAAGAGAGACTGTATTTTCTATCAATGCAAGATAGAAACCGAGAGTTCCAAAAATATGATGAATGTATGTTTATATTGATAAAGTAGAGTAGTCTCTAATCAAAAATAGTTACAAGGAAAAATCAAAAACAAGGTAGGAAATCGTTATCATTGCTGCGAATTAATGATAATTTTTAGGATTTCGTATGCATTCCTAGTCATTAAATAGATTAGCACCTTCTCTGTCACAAAAATAGAAGATTCCAATAAATGCAATATATGTTGAAACAAATGCATGAAGGATTGCAACAATACATGAAATATAATTTGCCTTCTTTTTATTTGTCATTTTTATGTATGTATCATTAAATAGCATGAACATTTTGTGCAATGTAATTGAGATTCCAGCTAATATAGTGACAAACGAAAGTATAATAGTTATATATTCATTATGCTTGTGAGAGCCTCCATCAGATGGTTCATTTGCTGATTACCAAAGTCTATTGTATTACATTCGAAATTTAGAAGTATCCTAATTAATTAAAATGACAAAATTGATTATATTGTTAACTGAATTCTAAGAATTGACATTTTATTATGGGGTTTTGGGGTTTTGGGGTTTTGGGG